TTTAATAATGATTTATTAGATTCAATATTATATTTATACATACCGTTTATTGCTATAATAATCAGGTTTCCACACTAATTTTGAGAAAGGTTTTGCACTGTTATAACGACATTTTATATAAACTGCCTCGAAACAGTGTTGCCCACAGTGTTACCCAAATACGGGATGGAGGGAAAAACGTTATGAATGGTTTTACACTATTTGTTTCGAATTATATATCCGTCAGACACTTTCGCTGTCCTACTCGCTCTCTATATAGGGCCAATGAATGACACCTTTATTGTGAGGTAAACAAGCAATCTTTTTCTACATTCTAGGCATATACGCGGACTTTGGCCCAAAAATATCTGTCCATGTGTTAACATCGTTTAGCCTATTCTTAGTCGGGTGAATGTGAATCTCTTCTTCGATTCAGATTCTTGAAGGGTGCCACTTGCGTTTCATAAATGGTTATATTATTGTTTTACTATATAATCATATAGTCAACGTTGACTAGTAGTAGGTCATCCTTATATTAATAATAATTAACTTAATTTGAGCATAAGTTTCAATTCTGTAATGATCAAGTCACCACAGACTGCCCATTTAAACAATGTTACCCCCACGATTACCCAAACCCGGGATGAAGCGAAAAACAATATAAATTGTTTTATATTATTACATATTTATATATATATATATACAAACGTAGTCTAGCAAAAAGTTATTCATAAATTAATAATAAATAAATTACTTCTTTTAATTGGTGTCTTTGTTGTATTAATTGAGTCTCCACAGACTTCCAGCCTCACCGAAACAGTGTTGCCCCCAGAGTTATTCAAATACGGGATGAAGGGAAAATAATATAAATTGATTTATATAAATGTTTTTTATACATACATATAAACGTTGATTAGTAGAAGGACATTCATAAATTAATAATAAATTAATTACTTTATGTAATAGGTTTCATTGCTGTAGTAATTAAGTCACCACAGACTTCCCGCCTCACGAAACAGTGTTGCTCCCAGTGTTACTCAAATACAGGATGGAGGAAAAAACAATATAAATTGTTTTATATTACTGTTTTGTGTACAAATAAAAGTTGTCTAGCAGAAGGTTATTCATAAATTAATAAAAAATTAGTTAATTTGTTTAGTAAGTTTCATTGCTGTATTAATTAATAAGTCACCACAAACTTCCCACTCCAAGGGAACAGTGTTGCCCCCAGTGTTACCCGAAAACGGGAAGGAGGGAAATACAATATCAACGTAAATTGCATCGTATCATGAACGTCATTGGAATGACAAGTTTGGACGCTGATCTTGCTTCAACGATCGAAAACAAATTGGGCACACTCCAAACCCATTTGGAAACCGGGTCGATAGGACAAGTTAGAAATTAATCTTTCTCTTTATAAACGACCCCGGTTCCATTATTCCTTTTATGTGTTTATTTCAGTATTGACTGATTCGAGATAGGTGTCGGAGGGGCCGGAGTGCAAACAAGTATGACGGAACTAATGGCCAAATCCGACCGTTAAGATATGTTAATATCCTAGGGATCACGTTATTGGCCCGTCTCTGGATAACCATTTTCATTTTTAAATTATCCCCGTGTGAGACTCACGAACCATAAAGACTCCCACTAAACTGATAATTATGTCGGAAACAAAAAATTTTTCACGTGAAATCCAAACGTGTAATGATGTAAAATGATGATTGATACCTTGCAGGCCCCTCGGAGTTATGATTACAGCGCGCGTTTCCATTCTAAATCACACCTGCTTATGGATTATATTTACTGTTCTTAACATGTTTCTTTTAAATAGGGAAAGTGGTTTCGAAGGGGTTAATAAGAGGGGAAAATCGTAAATTGTCGTTATCTACACTGAGGAACTACATGACACCTCGGGCTCGTGGAACGTGTATCAAACTGAGACGTTAGATTAAACAGGCCAAAGATGATCATGGATGATTAAAATGCTGACGTATATTCTAGGGTAAACTATCCCGGAAGATCTCTGTCAGAAGTATGATCAAACTCAGGCCGACTACTATTTCTGCCGACCATATTCCGTTTTTGAAAGAATATATGTTTGTTTGCCTTTTTTATAGGTAGCCTTAGGGAGGGTTCCATTTTACACCATCTGTTTATAGATAATAGAAAGAAGGTGACGAAGGATATAACATTACGGAAAATCACCTTAAATCACGAGGTCACTGGTTGGTGACCGCTGTATAGAGTAAGTGGGTAGAGACAGGGGGGGATCAATTATATGCAATTTGACTCTAGAAAGGACAATAAAAGCAACCCAAACAAACCGTGGTGGAACAGTCTATAATTAGTTGACAGCGTATATTACCCTCATCAGGGGAATTTAAATTAAACGTACTCCATGAATGCCAGTGTTGCCCGCAGTGTTGCCAAAAAATGGGATGGTGGGAAAAACGTAGTCAATTGTGTGTGGTGATTAGTGACCGTTAATTGATAATAATTCAGAAATCGCGAGATTCGGTCTGGTGTGATGATGGTTTCAGAAAAACATTTTCTTTATCGTGCCAACGTTTCAATCTTTATTGAGATCATCTTCAGGGCACAAAGTGTTTGTCTTCTGGGCACTCTCAACACGACACGCAAGGATGGCACAATTACACAGAAGTCAAACACTTTGAGCCCTGAAGATGATCTCAATAAAAGATCGAAACGTTGGCACGATAAAGAAAATGTTTTTCTGAAACCTACATCACACCCGACCGCATCCCACGATATCTGAATAACTATCGATTAACGGTCACTAATCTCTACACATTGTTTTCATACAGGTTTTCTATGATTTTGCTCATTGTAAGCAATACACTTAATTAGAAGTATGTTGTCACATGAAAACCTACAGCTTTAGCTAGGTGTCGAAAGATCTGTGGAGAAATTTTAAGAAATTTTCTCGTCAAATTCATCTTTTTAATTTCAAATTGACCGTTTTTAGCTACAATTAATCTTTAGATTTAATGTGTGGTGGTGACCGTTATCTCCATTGGGCACTCTCAACACGACACGCAAGAATGGCACAATTTCACAGAAGACAAACACTTTGAGCTCTGAAGATGATTTTAATAAAGACCGAAACGTTGGCGCGATAAAGAAAATGTTTTTTCTGAATAATTTTAGATTTAATATTTGAATTAAGAACGCATTTTATAAAATTATTTTTTTAATTTACAAAATAAAACACGAATCCTTTATTGGGGGCTTCGGTGGTCGCAACGGTTTAAGCGTTGACAGGGCGCTCATCACCGTAAGGTAAAGGTCCCCGGTTCGAATCCAGCGGCTCTCCATTCGAATCCGACATACTTATAAATGGGCTGTTGCGAACCCTCGTTAAAAAAACCTTTATTATTATATTTAATTTTATACAGCTGTTTTACTTCAGATTAACCATTTTTAAATTCAATTAACTGTTTTTAAATTTCAAATTAACCTTTTATAACTTCAAATTAAATTAAAATTTAAAATTCTTTAAAGCATTAAAAACAAAGAATAATATGTATGAATATAATACAAAGCAAGTAAATTACAATTCCTGTGTAGTATGGTTTTATTTTAAATATAAAATAATTTTGTTCTTAGAAGATTATATGAAAATGAATTACAATTAAAATTTAAAATTATATAAAATTAAATATAAAAACAAATGTCTTTTATTATTTCGCGAACTTTTTTAAATGTGAACTCATTTGTCTATAAAATAATTGTTTTATACTTAAATAAATATCGTATTAATAATTTGTTTTTATAGTTATTTCTAAACTTTTAATTCTAGTTGAAACTAATTTTCGTGTGGTAGTTTAGGTAAGAACCAATTGTATACTATTAAAAGCTACTCAAATCAAAAAAAGAATATAAATTCAACTTTTTAATTTCAAATAACCTTTTTAATTTTAAATGCACTTTATTAACTTCCAATTAACTCTTTTTAATTTACTATTAACCCTTTCTTTAAAGTATTAAAAACAGGATGTGTGAAGATAATTTTAATATATTAGTAATAATTATAATTAATTATAAAGTAACGTATGACATAACATGTAAGGGAACAAAATAAAATTTCTAGATATTTGAGTTTTTTGTAATATTAAATAAATGAGCTCTTTTAAGATCATATGTAAATAATATAATATGAAAAATTAAATTAATTTTTTTTTATCACTTTGAGATTGTTTTGTAAAAATTGCCGACTTTACTAATTTATGGTATTTTAGAAAAGAAGTAATTTTATTATTTTAAATACGCGAGATATATGTATAAAATGTAGATGTATGAAAGATGTATGAAATAATATGTAAGGGAATAAAATAAAATTTTAGATATTTGCAATTTTCTAAAATCTTAAATAATTGAGCTCTTTTAAGATTGTATGTAAATAAGATAATGTGTAAAATTAAATTTAAAAAAATATATTAGTTTGCGAGTATTTTGTATATATCAACTAATTTTCTAATTTATGGTATTTTAGATAAGCAGCAATTTTTTTATGTTAAAAATTCGTCAAATCGAGATAAACATTTTTTATAGTCAACTTCATATATATGTTAATTGTTAATTTAACTTTCATTTGGTCTTTTAAGATCCCAGTGATTTTGTTAAAAAAATTGCAAATATACGGGAATTTTAATTTACTTGCTTATATTTTATACAATATCTTTAGTTTATTAACACTTAAAAATTTTGAAAATTTAAAAGGGTTAATTTAAAATTAAAAGTTAAAAAATTCCTAACTTAATTTTACGGATAAAAGGTACATTCAGCAATTGGTGGACCCAATAGACGTCCTTCACAAATTTAATTTAATTTAATTTTTATGTTTACATTAATACAAAAAAAGTCTGCCCAGGCCAGAAAAAATAAAATAAAATAAAAATAATTATTTTTTTTATAAAAGTTTTTTTCTGGTGTCCTTGTTAGATTCGAAATCGGGCGGGCGCATGGCCGTTTGGATAGCCTCCGCCAGGTCGCAGGCCCACCGCTCTCTCTATAATACTGCAGACCAACAAAGCCGTGAAACCTTTTCAGCACGTCTCTTCTCCGCAGAACCGAAAAACTCCTTCTGAAGTAGTTAAAAGTCTTCCAGGACCAGTTTTTTCCTTTTTAGGTCTTCGGAAGGTTTTTATCTTTCGCCTCAGCCTTATTTCCGACTCCCACGCCCCTCGGCCGGCCTGCTGTTATCACCGTGCAGGTTATAAACAAAACACATTGTTGTTTCTTCTGTCATTTCGCCGATTTTCCCCCTTCAGCCCGTTCTACGAAGAAGGAGCTCGTTTAAGACGAAAAAGGTACGTGCTTTTTAAAAATTATTATCGATTATTTTCTACCCGGGAAGAAATCAAAACATGGAACTTCAACTTGTTGAAGAAATCACGTTGATTAAATCTATCGAATGGATTACAACAAACAAAACACTATCGTTTCTCCTTTTATTAAGTTATTTATCATATTGCGTTTTTGTTTAATAACAACAACGCATTGTCGCGTTTCACAGTTGAGCTGTCAATCAAGGAAGCCGTTTAAATCAATATCAGGTGACGAAGTTAAATTTAGACTTCGGATCGCTTATAACTTCGCAGAACGGCAAGTTAAAATTCGCTTTGGGAGGATAATCGACTTGAGATAAATGTGTATGATTTATACTCAATTGTTGTTAGATCTGTTTATTAAAAACCTTTTGTGTAAAATCATCGAGACTAGGCGGACCAACATTCTTAGTCTAACCCGCTTGTGTACGTTTTAAATGTTAGATGTTTTTCCGTTATTTCCAGTTTCCATTTATTTTCCTATTTAGAAAATGTTTCATATAACGTCAATTTATTTGTTTAAACAGTTAATATTTACTTTTATTACTACCATATCAACAACTTGTCATACTCCCTTTATAGATCCCCCCCCCCCAATTTTACAAAATCAAAATTCTTATAACGCCTTTTTTAAGACCTTTTTTCAAGAAAATTATAACTTTGAAAACCAAAAATTGTTAAAGTATCGATAATATACATTTATTTGTTTAAATATTTGACATTACATTTTTTTCTCAAAAACTTGAACATAAATGTTATTCCTTAGATTTTAATGGCGCCCCCACCCGAAATTTTACTAAATTAAAATCGTAATAATATTCAACTATTTACATTTGTTGTTAAAAATCTTCAAAGTTATCGTTAATGTTGATTTATTTGTTTAATCTCAAGATCTTCACATTTAGTTATTCCCGTACATTTTAATGCCCACCCTGAAATTTTTATAATTAAAATTCTAATAATAATCAATTTTAATGTTTTTTTAAATAAAATATTTACATTTATTGTTAAAATTCTACAAATTTCTCGTTAATGTTGTTTTATTTGTTCAATTTCTAAACGTAATCCTGTTTTAACTACAAAACCTTTAAATATGGTCATAGTCCCGTTGATTTTAATGGCCTCCCGAAATTATATTAATATAAAATCCTAATAATAATATATTTTAAGGTCTATCTAAAATATATTGTCAAATTCAAATCCTGAACCATATTTTTATTTCAAAACCTTTACATTTAATTATAGTCTCGTAGATTTTAATACCCCCCCCCAGAAATTTTACTAAATTAAAATTTTAATAATACTCAATTTCAACGTCTTTTTAAATGAAATATTCACATTTATTGTTAAAAATCGACAAAGTTATCGCCAAAGTAGATTTTTTAGTTTAAATTCAAAACATGAACCCTGTTTTTCTTTCAAAATCTTTACATTTAATTATAGTCCCCTCGATTTTAATGCCCCCCCCCAAATTTTACTAAATGAAAATCCTAATATTAATACGTTTTAATGACGTTTTTAAATAAATAATTTACATTTATTGTTATAAATCTACAAATTTATCGTTAATGTTGTTTTATTTGTTTGTTAAATTTCTATTGTTGTTAAATTTCTAAACATAACCCTGTTTTAATTACAAAACCTTTAAATAGGATCATAGTCCCGTTGATTTTAATGGCCCCCGAAATTATACTAATATAAAATCCTAATAATAATACATTTAAGGTCTTTTTAAAATAAAATATTTCCATTTATTGTTAAAAATCTACAAATTTATCGTTAATGTTGATTTATTTGTTCAATTTCCAAATATGAACCCTCTTTTTTTTTCAAAATCAATACATTTAATATTAGTCCGGTAGATTTTAATGACCCCCAAAAGTACCCTAAATTAAAATGCTAATAATAATAATAGTAGTACATTTTTGTCTTTGTTAAATAAATTATTTACATTTATTAGTGAAATTTACAAGTTTATCGTTAAGGTTGATTTATATGTTCAATTTATATACATATTCACTTTATAGGATGAAAAAATAAATTGAAATCCTAAAAAAAATTTACTTTTTATATAAATCGTCAATCATTCTTTCATTAAAAAAAAAATTCTCCATTCCTCTCGGTTTTCTTCATATCATGTTTTTTTAACCCTTTCTCCAGTTCTCTGTCTGTCTTTCTCTCTCTCTCTCTCTCTCTCTCTCTCTCTCTCTCGCTCTCTCTCTCTCTCCCCCTCTCTCTCCCCCTCTCTCTCGCCCTCTCACTCACTCTCTCTCTTTATCTCTCACTCACTCTCTCTCTCTCTCTCTCTCTCTCTACTTTCTTTTTTATTTTCTTCTCTGTATTATCTATCCCTCTTTATTTTCTCTATCTGTTCCTCTTTCTGCCTCTTAGATATTCTGTCTGGCTCTATATCTCTATCTTTTTCCATCTCCCCTTCTCTCCCTCTCTACTCCTTTTCTCTATCTCTCTTTCCTTTTATCCCTCTCACTCTCTCGCTCTTCCGGAGTAACGTTTTTTTTTTCATATTTCAGCGTCATTACAACCAATGGGAGGTGTAACGGTTGAGAAATTCGAAACTTGCCTGCCCAGATACAACAGCATGCTGCGCCCGAGGGGGACACTGGCCAGGGCCCTTTACAACAAATATCTCTCGGACGAACACCTGGACACGATCGACAGAAACGAGGTAAGAGGCGATTGTTTTTTAAATCATTAATCTTAGCCAGTCGAAAATGCCGGACATTTGAAATTTCGTTATTGGATTCCTAAATCGATCCTTAAAACAATTGTATTGGTGCTAATGGTTTTTAGAAGCGAAAATGTAGAAACCTGAAGGGGAAAAAAGGTGCCAGAAATACACTCATTGTAGCATTTCAGTTGGTGAATTTTCGTTTTTCCCCGCCCATGCTGACATTAGCCGCCGGCAATAAAGGCTAAACAATACAGACTTCATTCTCTCTCCTTCCGCCTTCTCTGCTAATGTTTATTACATTTTGAACCCCCCCCCCTTCGACCCACCGAACCGGTAGATTTGGACTGAACGACCGTCATAATTTCAAAACCCGCTTCCTCCCCTTTCCTATTTCTACGTGCGTTTTATCCGTGGACGGCATTAATCGACGGACGTCCCTATGTGTCCTTTCGAATGTTATAAAAAAACGTATGCAATATCCGTCTCAATAAAGACTTCAATTAGCCTATTTCGCGTTGTATAGTATTTTGTTTCTTTGTTTCCCAAGTTCTACCATTTTATTAATATTTAAAAAAAAGTATTTCGACTAGCACTGCATTCATTGAGAGAAAAAAAAAAAAAAAGAGAGACATAGATAGAGAGAGAGAGAGAGAGAGAGGGGGGGTGGCAGAGAGTGATAAAGGGTGAGAGACACAGACAGACAGTCAGAGGGGGGAGAGCGAGTGAGTAAGTTAGTGACAGAAAAAGAGGAAAGAATGAGGAAAAATAGAGAAGAAGGTAGTGAGAGAGAGCGATAGAGATAAAGAATAAAAGGGAATAATAGATAGAGAGAGAGGCGAAAGATAGATAAATAGATAGATAGAAATAGAGGAGAGAGGGGGAGAGCGAGTGAGTAAGTTAGTGAGAGATAAAGAGGAACGAATAAGAAAAAAATTGAGAAGAAGGTAGTGAGGTAGAGCAGAAANAAATAAAAAAAATATATATATCAATCTATCTATTTATATATTTATTTATAGAGAGGCAAAGGTAGTGAGGGCCAGATAGACATTCTTAGAGGCAGAAAGAGAAACAGATAGAGAAAAGAAAGACGAATAATAAGAAAGAAGAATAGGAAGAAAATAAAGAGAAAGTAGAGAGAGACAACTGGAGAAAGGGTTTAAAAACATGATATAAAGAAAACAGAGAGAAATGCAGAAGAAAGGGAAAAAACGAGAGCGAAATGGAGTGTGATGGAGGGTGAGGGATGTAGATGGAGAGAGAGATGAATAAATAAATAAAAGAAAGAGAATGGGATAGAGAGAGTGAGGCAGAGGATGCGAGGGAGCGAGAATGCATAAGGGAGGGGGGAGAGAGAAAGACGAAGTGGGGTAGTGAGAAAAAAAGTAGAAGAGAGGGAGTGAGAGAGAGATCCTGTTTAAAAAAAATTATTATTAATGTTGACTTTCTTTAGTTAAATTGATAGTCTAACGAGAACTGGTTTTCCAAAATGGAATTTCGATAGCACTCCAATCAAGGCTGGAAGGATTTGATAATTAAATATCCTTTTATTTTGAATAGCTACTGTTCGGGGGAGCAGGGTGTGAAAAGGCGACCCGAAACCAAATATTGACCCTTTCACGGTTCTGAATGATAATTCATTAGCAGGTGGAATGACTCTGCGTTCGATCGAGAGGGCGTCGAGTGGTCGAGTTACTTTGTACAACAGTGTGTGGACATTACTGGCCGGTTTTTTTTTCATTAGTACCACGACTTAATTGCTTTCTCATCTAGTCTGGAAATTGTAGGTGAGTTTATGATGAGTAGTACCAAATCATGATTACGGAATACTGTGCTGTTTTATCTGCTGATTTTATTTTATCATTTTTAACAAGTATTTCAGAGATTTTATAAAGTCTACGTGTAGAATCCCGTACAAAGCGCACTAGATCCCTTCCCATGTCGACCCTAATGGTATAAAACGGGGGTAAAATAACGTTTCACTTTGAATATAAATCCGGCATTTTGGAAAGGGAGAACTCCACGGTAAAAGCATAATTATCAATAGGGAACAGCGCTGGAGTGCAGTTCTTCCTGTTTGGAAGTCGACAGGAGGAATAACTTCGTATACAGATAACTCCAGCCTGACAGACCCCTCGTTATTCGGAGGGGCGAAGTTAACATCTTCATTGATGTGAAACAGTGAAAAAGTTACTTTAACTTCACCGCGATATAAGGGTAAAAAGTAAAACAAGGCAGCCTTGTAACACGTGCGATCATTGTGATTAATATAACATGATAAAGACATGAAAATCTCATTCCTGACATAAATCCTTACTTTTGGCAATCAAGCATATTCGTCGTGTTTATTAAAACTTCAAAACCCCTTATAAAATTAGTATAGGGGTCAAAATTGATATTCCCCTAGTTGGTCTCCAGGTTCATAAGATAGACTATAATGGAAAAAGTACAAAAGGAAAGTCCTTTGACACTCCGTAGCAAAACGGAATTGTTTACCGGACGAATACAGGTTCCCAGTATATCTCACATCTCCAAAAGAGGTCTTTTTGCATTGCGCTTAACTCACTTTCACCTCCCTTCATTATAGCAGCAGGTATTCCTCAGGGCTCAATACCGGGTCCGACTATGTTTTATTAAAAAAAATGCTAGTGTACTACTCCCCTTGGACAGTCAGTGCAATATGAAGCAGATTAAATAATAAAGCGCTTCTGCTTTCGTTGGAAGATTAATGGTAAAGATTAATGTCCCCCAAAGCTTGTTGCACCCTCTTTACCAAACTAAGACCTGGATGATCCACAAAGTGTTAATTGAGGGAAGTATAAAAAGGATTCACATAGCATACTTAAGTTTTATTGTTCTTAATGTTTAAATGAAGCAGATAATTATGATCGGTATATTGATAATTTTGTTTATTGATCTATTCTACCTTAGCTAAACCGCTAACAATTATCGACAGTTCAAATATTGGTCAGTAAAATATCGATATTTTGATTATTTCGATAATAGGTATACACTGTCGGTGATATATCGCCTATTATCGATAGGGCTTATATTAGTCAGTAAACTATCGATATTTTGGTAAATTCTATAATCAATATATTCTATCGAAGCTACATTTCCAACAAATATCGATAGTATATGTATCGGTGAGTAATATATCAATATTTTGGTATTTTCGATTATCGATTTATTCCAACCTATGACCAACAAATATGAGTGCTACATATTTTGTATATTAAAATATCGATGTATAGTTCGATTATCGATTTATTTTAACCTATGGCCAACAAATATCAGTGCTACGTACAGTGAAATCCGGTTGTAATGATATTGAAGGGACCAGGAAAAATTGATCGTTATATCCGGAAATCGTTATACACGGAATGAGAGGGGGGAGGAAAAAAGCAGTTTTATAGCTTATAGTTTTATATATTATTTACTTTTAAATATAATTACATACCTAATTCAATTTTTACAAGTTAAAAAAATGAGTAATATATATTATTATAATTATACAATAAAATAAAATTAAAGGAATAGCTCATTTCCTTTTGCTTGCAAGAAGGGCCCATTAATCGGAATGTTTTTTCTTCTTTGCATCGTAAACCACTCCAAAAGAGCTGCTTCAGATCTTCGTGTTGGCGGTTACGAAGCTTTTTCTTCGATTTGACATCTTTTTCGAAAATTTATTTTATTTTATTTTCTTTTTTATTTCCAAATCGTTGATATTGTTGATTGTTAATGTTGAGCTCGGATACTAAACTTTTGATAGTTTCTCCCTTCTCAATCCTTTGTATAATTTTCACTTTTTCTTCAATTGAAAACGCGCGGCGTTTATTCGACGCCATCTCGCACAAGGAAAAAAATGAAGACTAAATCTAAATTCTCAACTCGCATTTTGAAGGAATAGTGCGCCGTAAATAGGAGGAAGGGTGTTCAAAGAAAATTGTGGATAGGGGTGGAATAAAATTCGGTGAAAAAAGGAAGGAGTCATATCTATCGAGTACAGAGTAACGATTGGAAAGACACAAGACTTGTTTACGTTTAAAAACAGAACTAGGTATTTTACGAATTATTTTTGTGTTAAATCGTTATAAACGGTATAAAAAACATTTTTCTTTAGTTTTATATCGTTATAAACACAATATCGTTATATCCAACATCGTTACATCCGGATTTATTTCTGCACTTTTACATAGCAAACCAAACTAGACACCCGTTTCACATCGCTATATCCGGACTATCCCTATAAGCGGAATCGTTATAGTCGAATTTCACTGTATTTTGTATATTAAAATATCGATGTATAGTTCGATTATCGATTTATTTTAACCTATGGCCAACAAATATCAGTGCTACGTATTTTGTATATTANGACAGTTCAAATATTGGTCAGTAAAATATCGATATTTTGATTATTTCGATAATAGGTATACACTGTCGGTGATATATCGCCTATTATCGATAGGGCTTATATTAGTCAGTAAACTATCAATATTTTGGTATATTCTTTCGAATCTATATTTCCAACAAATATCGATAGTATGTGTATTGGTGAGTAATATATCTATATTTTGGTATTTTTGATTATCGGTTTATCCTAACCTATGGCCAACAAATATCTACGTGTTTTTGTCAGTAAAATATCGATATTTTGATAATTTATTTAATAGATATACTCTATCAGTGCCTTATCGCCAACAATTATCGATAGTGCATATATTAGTCAGCAAAATTATCGACATTTTGATATATTCTATAATCATTATATTCCATCGAAGCTATATTTCCAACAAATATCGATAGTGTATGTATTGGTGAGTAATATATCAATATTTTGGTATTCTCGATTATCGATTTATTCCAACTTATGGCCAACAAATATGAGTGCTACATATTTTGGCTATTAAAATATCGTTTATCGATTTATTTTAACCTATGCCCAACAAATATCAGTGTTACGTATTTTGTATACTAAAATATCGATGTATAGTCGA